CGTGGAGCCTCATCTCCAGACAGCTGGAGGGGAAGGAATGAGAAAAAGCCATGCAGTGGCTGGACATGGTCCTGTTGGCCCCAGGCCTTAACACTCAAGGGGAGATTCCTTTGCAGAAACCAAATGCCAGTTAAAATCAGATTTCAGTTCTCTAAGAGGATGGGTCTAATAAAAATCAGAGAAAGCAGAAAAAATAGTGATTAAATGCCTAGGAGAAGAAGAAAAGAACAATAGAATTAAAAGAAATGAAGTAAAGACAGAAGAAGAAAATAAGGTGATGAGTTAATAAGGGGTAAAAGCACACGGTACCACACCTCCCGCCCAAAATACACAAATACCTAAAATCTCTGGTAGCGTAGTGCCTAAAGGCACTTGACTGCTAACCAGAAGGCTAGCGGTTCAAATCCACCAGCCACTCCTTGGAAGGAAGATGGGTCAATCTACTTCCGTAATGATACTGTCTCGGAAACCCAAGGAGGGGTCGCTATGAGTCGGGTCCAACTCGACGGCACATAACAACAACAACATGTGCACTACACAAAAGACTATGCTTTTACCTTCCTTAATTCTCACTTTTCAAGTTTGTAAAGTGACTTTAAAACAGATTTCAGTCTCACATTACACTCTACACTGAACAGGGCTACCAAAATCATACCTGACATAATCAACTCACTGCCATCGAGTGGACTCCGACTCATAGTGACCCCCATCGGGTTTCTGAGGCTGTAAATCTTTACAGAAGTAGATCGTCCCATCTTCCTTCCACAGAGTATCTGGTAGGTTTGAACCACTGACCTTCTGGTTAGCAGCTGAATATGCCTTATCAAATACACCACCAGACCTGACGTGATAGGTTTATGTAAATTCACCTATGAGAAAACAGCTGAACCCTATGGAACAGTTCTACTCTGCTTATGTGGGGTCTCCATGGGTCAGAATCAACACGATGGCTACTATCAATAACACTGAACAGAAAATTTTCTAAAAATATTCAGGTTGTCTTAAGGCTTAAAGGAGACAAAAAAAAAAAAAAATGTTATACCATTACCCATGAATGACTCAGAGGTTTATAAAAAGGATACAGAAGCTTTCACCTCTAGGTCAATGATTCTAGGATGACTACAGTAGGCATCATTTTAGGGTATTACCATCCTACCAGCTGTTTTGTTCACAATCTGTAGAAATGTGTTGCTTGTCTCTATTAATACCCTTTTGACAGGTGTACACATTCCAATTTATATGCATCTGCCAGTTTATAGCACTTTTAAGCAGAGTGGTGAAAGCCACAGCAGCTGCTAACTTACAGAACTCCTTACGGTGCCCAACTCTCTCCTTTAACTATAGTACTAAATGGTAATTCTTTATATTTATAACAGCTTTTCCTATCTAAAACTACAATCGTAGAGGAAAGGTATCTGTGGAGAACTTCTGAAATGACTGCAATATCATTCTGTGAAAAAAATAAGGCCACAGATCATCTTTCTTGCTAGGAAAATGCAATGAAGGCCAAACCAGATGAGAAGGTCCACACTTACGAGGCCTCAGTGACTCGTAGGAGACGGCAGACCTCACTGGGAATGTGCCTTAGCCACATTCACACATGTATCGTAGGCCACTGGGAAACATGCTTCTAAAATTTATATACCAAGGATTTATTTGCTTGGGCCATGGAAGCCAATGTAGCTTCTGGTGTCTGTCCTGGTACTCTGCACCTCTATGTTACGATAACACTTGCTATCATACCAAAGAATTATAATCTATCATTTCGACCATTTGCCAGGGCAATCAGAAAGTGAATGGTACCCACTGCAATGGAAAGTCATTTCACTAAGAAGAGTTATCCCAAACCACAGTCACATGGATTACTGAAAGGAGAAAAATTATGTTTGGAAAAATAAAACTATTTTTATTAAATCACAGTATGGAAGTATTAATTCACTGCCAAATCTACTGTATCTGTAATTAAATATAGATGACACCTACCCATCGACCTTTGCTGCACACTCAGTCCGTGGCACTAATAGAAGGAGACGTATCATCCAAAAATCCTGTCTTTTGAGTTCTTATCTTCTTTCACAGAACTGAGCATCTCTTTTGAGAAGAATTTTAATTTAACCAGGCAATATTCCAATTCAATGTATTTTTAAAGCTTGCGTAAAATGCTTAATAGGCACTCTGCTTCATTTTCTTAAATGACATTAAATAATACACCAAGTATCTGGCACAAATTCCAAACAAATAGTAAACAAGCAAACAAAGAAATAAACAACTCACTAATTCCTCTTTATTTCAAATATATAGTTTTATTTCAAAAACCAAACTCACTGCCATCGAGTTGATTCTGACTCATAGTGACCCCCATTGGGTTTCCGAGGCTGTAAATCTTTATGGAAGTAGATTACTCACTGCCGTCCAGTCGATTAGACTCACAGCAACCCCTCCTTGGGTTTCTGAGGCGGTATCTCTACGGAAGTGGATTGTCCAACCTTCCTTCCAAGGAGTGGCTGGTAGGTTTGAACCACCAGCCTTCTAATTAGCAGTCAAATGCCTTAGGCACTACACCACCAGAGCTCCCACTATGCTCCTAGAGCTCTGCAAGCTCTAGTTTACCTCCGTCAAACCTAAGAAACCTTGTAAGAAATAAAGCACCAACTATTCAATCTGGTTCAGTGCGGCAGCAAAACAACCATGCGGCTTGATTTTGTTTTGCTTTAGAACTGGTGGGTTATTATAGCACATACTCTACAATTATATTTCACTGGAGACACAGGCACAGAGAGGTTAAGTGACAAGGAACCACAGGCAAGCTGGAAAGGAGATGGCAAAGGGAGTGGGGTGGGCAAGGCTCGACTTAAAAATGGGTGGTCAGAGAAGTTCACAAGGGTGACATCTGAATACAGACCTGAAATGGGGTGGGAAAGAGGGCATCCAGGGGCATATTCCAGACCCAGGTAACAGTAAGTACAAAAGCCCCGAGGTAGAAGCATGCCCACATGCATGACTCACCTTTTTTTTGTTTATATATGTTTTATGTTTTTTTTGACAAGGAGCTCAGGTGGTATAGTACCTAAGGCATTTGACTGCTAACCAGAAGGTTGCTGGTTCAAACCCACCAGCCGCTCCACAGACGGACCAGGCAATCTACATCTGTAAAGATTTACAGCCTCAGAAACCCAAAGGAAGTCACTATGAGTCAGAATCAACTTGATGGCAGTGAGTTTGGTTTTATTTTTCTGTTGGTTTTATATGTTTCTTTAGCATAATAATATAGTAATAATAACAACATGTTGATGTCTCAAAGTAGCACCTATTTGCTATTATAAACCACTGTCTGCACCTCATATTTTTAATATAATAGGCTTTACAGGGGTTGGTTCATAACTACAGATTATTTGGATATTTGTGATCAGGGACTGCCTGTATAGTTACTGTGTTTACATCTCATTACAGGCTACCTTGTATTGTTTTCCGGTACACATCTGCTCTCCCAGTGGCTTCCTTAGAGTAGAGCCCATGTGTTGGTAATGCCTGAATCCCATCACAGGGCTTTGCACAAGGACGATACCAATAAATATTTGTTTGATGATGATGTCATAGAAACCACCACAATGAGCAGCAGACATTCCTCCTGTTTTAAGTAAGTATGTTTGTGAACAAAGCATGGAATAGACATCAGAGTCTCTCACAGGCGCTTGGATAATTTCAATCTTGGCTAAATTACTGTTTTGGTAACACTCCACTCTGTCCAAGAGTCTGTCTAAGATTCCCTCTGCATTTTCACTTGGGCACAGTACACACTTTCAGCCTAGACCTGGGTGTAGATTAGCCACAAAACACAGGGGCCCAGCACTGGGTATATCCCTGTCAGTTTCCTTCAATCAATCTTATTAAACACCTACTATGTGAAAGAGACTCAACCCGAATACATGGATGATAAAATAGCATCCAAACACTCTTAGCAAGACAGACAGACACTAAAGGAACAACTTCAGTCCACACAAAATATATAGAATTATTTTGAAAGAATGTAAGTGGTAGCCTGGGGGCTGGGGGACTGAGGTAAAGCTACACAGAAGCATTGGCACCTGAACAGACAGGATTTTGAAAGAGGAATAGGCCTCGCACAATCAGACACGGGATCAAAGGGCATTCTGGATTGTGCAAAACACTGGCAGAAACAATAACAGATTGAAAACTGCTAGAGGAATGCACTCACCATCAGGGAAGGCAGGTTGGTCTGCTGTACTCTTAAACTTTTCAAGGGGAGTTAAGAAATTTTCAAATAAGGGGCTGAGGAGGAAAGTTTCACCAGCCAACAGTGCTTGTTTTGTTAAACTTCTTAGGCTAGATTTACTTTGTTTTGCTCTTTCTGTTTTGTTTCCCTATTAAAGAAATAAAGTACTGTGCTGGCTTACAACTTTAGAGAAGAAAAGCACTGCAGCTTTACTATGGAAAAAGAAAACTGAAAAGTGGGCCATGGGCCAAAGAATAAAGCAATGGAAAAAAAAAAAAAAAAGAACTCTTTGCAGGAATAAATACATGGCACAAAATTCAAGCATCATGGATCTGAAATACAAATTTTCAACCCTCCACCAACTCAATAAATATTTATTATATGCCCACTATTTGGTAAGTCTCTGGGATACACCAGTGAGGCACTCTCATTGCCCTCCTTTACAGCAAGCTTTTGCCTGCAAATCTAGTAAAGGAAATAAGTAGAGGACAAATCATTGTACCCTGTTCCTTCTACGCCTGCCAACCAAAGCTTGAAGCTCTGAGAAATTATATTCCAGTTAAGTAAACCAGTGAGGACTAAATACACTTAAAAAATAATATTACAACAACCACATCTGAGATGTGAGACACTGATAGAGGTCCTCAGTAAGGCTGTCTCACCGCCTCTTCCTGTGGGCAGGGAGCTCCCAAGAGGGACTTCCTTGCCAGTGATTTGGAACGATGAATGGGGAACAGAAGGGACTATAGAAGGGGGGGACAATTACCTGGGAGCTCAGGTAGACTTTGAGGCACTCCTCGCACACGGCCTTCTTGCAGCAGGGCAAGGGCTTGATGGGCTTGTCTTCCAGGCACACCCGGCACATCAGCACCATGAGGGGCGCATAGGGATCCCCTACCCCGCCCAAGCCAGAGTAGGGTGGAGCTCCCAACAGGCTGGGCACGGAGAATGGCTCGGGTGCCAGGTAGAACTCCAGCTCGATACTGCCGCCGTCGGGGGAAAGGGGGTCGTTTGGAAGAGACAGCCTGGGGCTGGGGAAGGAGGAGAGGGCACTGGCAGGACTAGGCACCGATGGAGGAGCCCGAGGTGGCGACTCTGGTGGCGAGAGCTGCTCGGTGGTGAGGGACACAGGCAGGTCGTTCTCCACGCAGTACACAGAGCAGAAGACGTGTCTCTTGGCTGGCGATGGGCGCTGCTGGGCCAGCACGTCCAGGACCAGCCCGTCGGGGAGCTGGGCACGGGTCTTGGGCTCCCGATGCTCGCTGGGGGGCGCCTCATGCTGTCCATCCCCTCCGGGTCGGTCCTCAGCTTCCCCCTCCTCCTCCAGTTGCTGTTGCAAAGTCTGGGGGTTGAGGGGCCTGCTGAGTGCTAGTCCCACGGGCTGCCCTGGTGCTTGGCTCTTCCTCCCGCCTTGGGTCCCCTGGCTCCACGCGGGCTCTGGGGCGCTAGTATCCGTGCAGCCCGAGCTGCCTCCGCTAGGCTCCGCGGAGTCGGCGAGCGACCTGTGCGCCCCGGCGCTGTCCCCCCGTGGTCGTGGGGGCTCAAAGTGGCCTGCGGCGCCTCCTGCAGAGACCCTCACTTCCTGGGGCCCGCTGCCGCCGCCGCTCACCGTGCTCTGCTCCTCGCCCATTGCCGCCCGCGGCCCGCGCCACCGCTGCCCATCCAGCCGCCGGGACCCCCGCCGGGACCCACACCCGGCGCCGGCGGGCAGCGGGGACAGCGGCTTGGCTTCACTCGCGGCTCTGCTTCTGCTTCCGGGTCCCTCCTCCCGGGCTGGGACGCCCCGAACTCCCTCGCGGGAGCCCGTGCTCCGCGGCCGCGGCGGGCGCAAGGGGAGCCTGGCTCGGCCCGCTCCGCCTCCTTGTCCTCTGGTGCGGCCCGGCACCGCCTCAGGGGTGCGGAGGGCCGCTCTCTACCCGCGCGGGCGTGCCCGCCCCGCATGCAAGTCCCAGTGGTGCCGCGGCCCCCACGAACCCAGGGCAGGGACGGAGGGGGTCCCCGGGGAAGCGGCCGTCAGTCCCACGCCATCGCGGGCCCTGGCTGCTGGCAGCGCAGGAGGGCCGGCGGGAGGGCGGTGGTCAAAGGGTCGAGGGGCCTGTGGCGCCGCCGCGGCGCACACCAGGAGGGACAGCCAGAGCCAGCAAGCTTGGGCCAGGAGACCCAGAGGGGGGAAGAAGCCTGAACAGGCGACCTCCTTCCCCTCTTGTTTCACCTAGAGCCCTCCTCACTGCCCCTCACCCCACCCCTTTGGCGCACACCTCCCTACACGTACACACACACGCGCGCAGGCACTGGCGTACACACTCACATGCACATCCCGAACGGGTGTGATCTAAGCCCTGAGATGCGGGAATCACAGCATCACCTGTCAGACACCATGCAAAGTACTATTATTAAGTTGTTTGGACCTAATGATCAGAAATTCCTTTTGGCTTTAAAGGGCACGTGAAATAACCAAGACATACAGGTACCATACTATAAGAAAGTTTGGGAACCTCAGGTATAGGACAGAAACCACAACCACTAGAAATTTATACTTCAAATTAATAAAGCACACTTGAGCAGTACAGGATTAGCCTTGTCCAAGGAAAGATTTAACCCTTGCCCTTAGCTCCTGGGAACATAACCTCCAAGCCCTTGGAATGCCTTGCCTGATAAGAATGTCTTTGTTTAACTGGGGACCGTTGGGACACACCAGATAGTCTATGCTAACAATGTGATTTATAGTGTGGAACTTGGACCACTCAGACTCAGCTTGACCTTTGGAAGCACTAGAGACTAACTTCAGACATGAAGGTGGTAGTCCATGTCTACATGATCAACTACCAATAAAAACCCTGGACACCAAAGCTCAGGTGAGTTTGCCTGGTTGGCAATACTCCATGCAAATTGTTACACTTCATTGATGGAAGAAATAAGCATCATCCACAGGATTGAACTGGGAGAGGACAGATGTTAGCTCTATTCCTGGTCTCTCCCGACCCTGTGCTATGTGCCTTTTCAAACCATTGCTGATTTTAATTTGTATCCTTTCACTGTAATAAACTGCAACCATGAGTAAACAGCTTTTCTGAGTTCTGTGAGTCCTTCTAGAGAATTACTGAACCTGAGGGTGGTCTTAGGAACCTCACAAACTTCAACACTGCAAAAGCTGGCATGTGTTAACTTTCATAGGCTCTCATTTTCTTTGTTTTTATTAAGCAAAAAGATTCCATTGAAAAGTATGGGGCCCACCAATGCAAGAATAAGACAAGCTTAATATAAAAAGATGAGGGAAAATGCATTACCTTGTTCTTGTCACAAAAGAAAGTTGATTTCCTAAGACAACTTAGCTAAGTAACTGGTCATTTTGATAGATGGGTCAGCTTTAACATTTTGCTGGACAAAACTGGCAGGAGAGTTGAATGATTCTGAAAGTTCTAAGCTAACAGTTTAAGTCATTCAACTGCATTCATTTAAAAATTGTAACAAATAATTTTTATCTATTTATCTCTTAGCACACTGCTACCAAGTTGGAATGGAAGAACCCAGCTGCCTTTGGGGGGTGTTAAATACCACAAGCTGTTTCTCAAACACTGTAGGATCAATAAAGCTCTAAATATTTTCTCAAATACTTTAATTTTTTTTTCAACATGCAAATATCTTTTAAAGGTTCTTATTCACATAATCCTAACTTACATTTAATTTTTCTTATCTTTGTAAGATTTTGGAGCTGTTCTTTTGAGCCTCATGGAAATAATGGGATATAGGAGCAAGAATGTCAAATTGGCAAAATAATATTTGTATCCTTAGTCCGATTTTGCCAATGATTGTCTATTTGCCTGCATTTGTCTAGGCTTCAGTTCTTACTCCTGTAAAATGAACATATTAAACTAGATGACTTTAAGGTTCATTTCAATGTTAAAATCATTTTTTCAATTTAACCAATATGTATTAATCCTCACTTTATGTACAATGTTGTGATAACACATAAGGCTTATAAATGGTAAAAAAGAAAAGAAAAAAATCTCAATCCATGCCCCGAGGAATCTTGCAATGAAATAGAGAAGATACATCTTGAACCATAATATCAGGCATATTTTGTTGGATATTTTCATAGAACTAAGATGCTCTGGTGGCACATTGCCTAAGGCATTTGACTGCTAACCAGAAGTTTGGTGGTTCAAACCCACTTGTCACTCCACAGAAAGAAGACTGGGCAATCTACTTCCATAAAGATTTACTGCCTTGGAAACCCAATAGAGGTAGCTGTGAGTTGGAATGGACTCAATGGTAGCAGGTTTACTTTGGTTTTTGTTATCATACTCACTCACTACCATAGAGTTGGGTCCAACTCATAGTGGTGCCTCCTTGGGTTTCTGAGGCAGTATCACTACAGAAATAGATTGCCCAATATTCCTTTCAAGGAGTGGCTGGTGGGTTTGAACCTCCAGCCTTCTGATTAGCAGTCAAATGACTTAGGTTCTATGCCACCAGAACTCCTCCTTTGGTTATCATAGAACTATAAATTAAAGAGGGTGGGAATTGTGATGCAGGATTGATTTCTGCCAGGGTGGATCACAGAAAGTTTCATGAGGGCATGGAAGATGAGTTACATTTCTATAGATGGAGAAGGGAAATATATGAGCAAACACATGATGGGAGAGCATATATGGTGCTTTGAGTGGCATCTAGTAGTCTTGGGTGTCTGATCCTAAGTAACTTGTGAAGAAAGGACAAAAGAGGTAGCAGAGATGAGCTCACTCAAAATTGTTTAGGGACTTGGTTCTAAAAAGTTTCATTTGCCCTTCTTTTATTCTTATCTACCATCTGTGCCCTTGGAGGATGACCCATTGCTCCATTCACCAATAGCCTTAGTTGTTCTCTGGCCTCTGATGGAATTTGACAAAAGAAAGGTGCTAGCAGGTGATCAGAAGGTTGGGCTGTTTATTTTCCCAGCTCCCAACCCGGCAGGTCTCTGCATGTTATCTATTTCCCTCTGCTGAAAACCACAGGTACTACCCTGTCTGGGTTCTGAGAATTTCCCTTCAGCTAAGAAGTGGTAACAGCTCCCCACAGTTGCTAGTCCCAGGGTATTGTACTTACTCAAGTCCTAAACTAT